ATTTTTTGACCTTCTATTAGCATATAGGGTAGAAGGGGGACCATACGCCACTTTTTTTTGAGGCGGCCTCAAATTAAAACCACAATACATATTCTTAATTTTTTCTTGGTTCGGATACTTAGATATGTTGGCTTTAGTTTTATTCCTTTCAATCTTTCCTAAATCATCCTCATGTACATATTTTTTTAACTTTTCCGCACTGACCAAAAACGGCGATACCGCCCCATCCATGGGGTAAATTCACCAAGGGGATGGGGCAGATTTGTCATTAGTAAAATAAAAGAAAAAATTACAAAAATAAAAACTTATTTTGCTGTTTTATTTTAATTCATTAAACAAAGTATAATAAACCAGATATTTATTGTTTATTTCACAAAACTTAACAAAAAAATTAAATTATTTATTACATTACTGATTTTTTCTATATTTTAACCAAATTTTGTTGCATTACATATATTTGGCGCATGTGCCCCACGGGCAGTTCTGGGGTTTAGTTTCAATTTTTTTCGGGCTTCAAATTATATTATCGAAAATATTATTATGTCTTATTGTTCACTATTATTGACGTTCTAATACTGACGAATATATTTTTTCTATCACAAAAACTAAAAAAGTTAGCACAAAAAGTTCACAAAGTTCACAGCCCTTTGAAAAACAATTAATCATGTCTGCCTCCCATCATATGTAAAGTTAATGTTTCAAATTTTCAGGGATGATAGATAATCGATAAACGAAAACAAAATTTGATAATGCGATAAAATCGATTACTCAGTTTTCAAGTTATTCGCTATTGGCAGATGTGCCCCTATGGCATATGATCTCCCTTCTACCCTACAGTGTATTTTCAGATAATGATGACCAAAACTAAATTTCAGCCCCCAAAGATGGTTTTTTTCTTGAAATAAAATAAATCCAGTGATTAAAAAAAGCCCCTAATATAAGTAAAAATTTCTCTTGCTTTCATATTTACATTTCATGAGAGAAAAAACTATCATTATAAACATTTTTCACTTTGTATGAAAGGTTTTTTTCCTTTTCTGTTTAATGTTTCGAAAAATGTTACATTTTCTCTGAAGGTCTCCTTCTCCATTGATTTTCCCTAATTGATGTTGTTTAATAGGTAGGTAGGTAGGTAGGTCCTACCTTCATTTCAGTCCTTTTTTCCTTTGTTCCATTAAAAAGTATAACTATTTAAAATTGTTTACCCGGTTCCCCCCTAAGGGTGGGTCTTCAAAATATACATATTTCTGAGACTATAAATATCATAGTCTATAATATTTTGGCTTTAGAACAGAAATAATCAGTCTTAAAGCACAAAATTACCAATTTTGCGCCCTTTGCCTTCTACTATAGTACCTTCGAAATTTGAAGAAATCGGTCCAGCCGTTTAGGAGTGATTGACCAACAGACAAACAAAGAGATTTATAATATATGTATATTAGGATTAGCATATACAAAACATATTCATGTCGAATTTTACCCCGATAGTTCTATTAGTTAATGAAATATGAGAGTTTAAGTGATTTTCGGAAGTATACCTTATATTGGAACTATGGCCTATTATGGACCAATTCGGAAAACATTTCGTAAAGTGATTAATACATACACAAAACATATTCATGTCGAATGGGGGCTATGGAAAATTGTGGATCGAGATAGTCTGAAACTTTAACTCATAACTTTTTATATCGTGAACCGATTTTGCTGATTTTCAACACCAAACTGCTTGGAACAACAATGAATATTTTCAGTGAATTTGGTTTATTTTTTTGCTTAGTTTTAACTTGAGCGTGTTTTAACCAGACAGACAGACGCACATAGCTAAGTCGACTCAGAATTTCATAAGGACCCTGAATATATACTTTGTTGGGTCTCAGATGAATATTTCTTGGTGTTACACATATAATGACAAACTATCACCACAGATGGTGGTGGATTGTATAAAAAAAAACTATCATTATACACATTTTTCACTTTGTATGAAAGGTATCATGAGCATTATTTAAGGTTCGTCCATTCATTTTTAAAAATATTTATAAGGATGTAAAATTTAAATTTTATGTGGGAAATTTTTTTTTTTAATTTTAGTATTTTAGTAACATTTAATTTAGTATTTAATATATGTGCAACGCTCGTTATTGCTAGTTCAACTATTTTTCCAAATGCTCGTATAAGAATTCTAGCTTCAATACTTTCCTAGATATACGAATTTATGTTATTAAATTGTATGAGAAGTGCCACACCCCCTATTTCTAGTCCTCCCATTTTTCCTTCAAATTGTTTATATTGATTTCAATATTTCAATAACCCATACAAACTTTTGGAATTTTAGCTCTAAAACATTTCCAGTTATACGAAATTTATTATTTTATTCACATGCGATGTGCAACACCCCTATTTTTAATCCGCCAATTTATTACCCAAATATTCACATGAATAACATATTTGTTTGTGCAAAATTTGAGGATTTTAGCTTGAAGCGTTTCATATATGTAGATATAGATATAGATATAAAAATGTTTGTATTTAATTCATATGGGGGGTACCACGCCCCTATTGCTAGTCCACCACTTTTTCCACCAAATAATCATATGGATGTCAAAATTGCCCATAAAAAAATTTGAGGACTCTGGTCCTCAAATTGGTCAATGTTCCAAGATATTCGACTTTTAAAGAAGTGGGCGTGGCACCCTTCCCACTTGCAATTTCAAAATAAAAATTAGCTTATAGTCCCTTCCAGATAAAGGGGAACATACACTGAAAATTTCAAGAAGATCGCTTTAGTGGTTTAGCCTCCTATAAGGTAGAAAGAAATAAACACACATACATTGATTTTTATATTCAAACGTTTTGTACCCGGCGTTGCCCGGGATTTTAAGTGATTTATAATATTAAGTCTATAGATCAATGTATGCAAATTAACATTGACTTTGCTTTTTACCCCTGAAATTAATATGGCGAAATTAAAATATACATTCAAAATATATAATTCAGAACAACTTTCACAAAATTTACCAAAAACACACATTTTCCTTCTTTTCAATTCTTTAGGCTTGAATGGTAAAAAATTATCTTTAAAATTTTTAATTTCATAAAGCTATAAAAATATTAATACTTAAAATTTCGGATTTCTAATCATTAGCTCTTTTAAAGCATGATTTAAACTCTTCAAAGCATTTGAAAAGCTACTTTACTAAAAATTGAGAAAGCTAAAACCAAAATATATTTCACACATTACGTGCGTACACGTAAGATGAAATTTCATCCGTATTTAAGAAAAGAGAATAAAAGTCGTATGATTTATACTTTTTGTGTTTGCACAATTGGTATAAAACAATAACAAAGTAAGATGAAAACAGCTGTTTAACTTTTGAGTTTACATAAAAACACATCCCTGATCTAATGCGACGAAGAAAGCCATACGAATGTATTTTCTTTAAATGTGTGAATGTTTCATTACATATTGTGTTTAGACGATCCCATCCCATCCGTATCCTTCTAAACAAAATTTTGACAGTTCATATTACTTGTGTGCTCGTGTGAAGGGGCTTTAGAATAAATAATATTCATTGACTTAGAAAAAATTAGTACATACTAATTTTTCCCCTTTCTGATTCATGTTTCGAAAAATGTTAATAGGCATTTTTTCTTCCCAAAATAATCTTGAAGTGTGTGGTTCAAATTTCTTTAAATTCGGTTCAGTCGTTGTCATAATATGATGTAACTGCATTACAAAAAGTAGCAAAAATTAAAATATTTCCTTTGCAGTTCAATTTGTCAAAGAATATTGATATTTATAAATTTCAAATATTGAATATAACTTTCCACAAATTCAAAAACTTCATATCATTTTAAAATTACAAAACAAAATTCGATCCTTTTATCTGTAAATTTTTAGTTTATTAAAATATTAATATTTAAAATTTTAACCCCCTTATTCACAAAATTTTTATTTTATAAAAGGTTTATAAAACAAAATTTTCATATAAAATCTAATTTATAAACCGTCTATAAAATAAAAATTTTGTTTGTGAATAAGGGGGTAAATATATAAGTAGAAATTACTTCTGTTTCTTCATTAAAAAAAAATAATAATTTTACCGCGTTCCGTATTTTGTCCCTTTCAGATTTTATGGAATAAAGATATAACCAATTGAAACACTGTTTAAAATTTCTTAAAGTCGGCTCAGCCATTTAGGTGTGGACCTTATGAAAAACACTTTTTACCCAATTTAATTTAATTTTTCTAAAATATACCTTTTGACTGATTACAGCAAAATACTTCTCAAGTATTTGCATATTTCCGAAAAAGTACCTAAACTACACAACAAATCTTTCATAATATATATTTCTGGAACTTTAATATCTAAATCGAAAGTATTTAGCTTTAGAACAGACAAAAATCACTTTTAAAGGACATAATAGTAATTTTGCCAGTTTTTCATCATTTCCCGCATTTTTTACCAGTTTTGGTCAAACTTTCGCAACGGTTCTTTGCTAATAAAAATTTCTTACACTTTAGATAGCTAAATCGATAAATAACTTCGCGTCAGAATATACAAAAATCAGTTTTCAAGCACAAAAGTACCGATTTTCTCAGTTTTTCGCCCTTTTTCCAATTATTGGTACCCGTTTTGTTCCAACTTTCGCAACGCAACTTTTCTAATACATATTTCTGACACTTTAGAATGCTAAATCGAAAATATTTTCGCATTAAAATAGACAAAAAAAATTTTATGCACAAAAGTATCAATTTTGCCCGATTTTTGTCGTTTTTACCCATTTTTTTACTCCCTTCTAGTCCAATTTTCGGAAAGTAATATAGTAATATATCTTTCTATGTTCCAAATTTGAAGAAAATCGGTTCATCCGTTTAGGCGTGATTGACGCACAAACTAATAAACAAACTTACAAAGAAATTTATAATATATATTAGGATGTATATAGAAAATAGATAGAAGATAGATAGATAATTATAGGATAATAAATATTTTACTTACTAATGATTTATCATTGCTTTCATCCTCAGTTACTATAAAAGTACGCATCCAAGATTCCATACCACGTATAACAATGCTTTGAGTAGAATTTGGTGTTTTAGTCCAATATGTGGATAATTCCTTAATTTCAATCTCCACCCACTGTCCTTTACCCGGCGGTATTTTCTGCCGACTTTCAAGTAACTTTACTGTATGTGTATAATTCATCGAATTAGGTCGTCTAAGTACTCTATATATAAAAATGGTTATCTCCGGTTTCTTTTTAATTGAAATTTCCATATTCTTTTTCTCCATCAAATCTGGTTGATATTCATAAATCCAATTTAGCCCTTTGATATATATGTGTAATATAGTGCTCGATATGCGAGATGGATCACTATTGAATTTAAAATTAAAAATCTCGGGTTTACGATTATGATGAATGCGCGATTCTATTGAATGGAAAATTTGTAATTTTAAATTAATAACAAAAAAATTTTATAAATTTAAAGTTATTTTATTTTTTTCGAAAACATATCCCAATAATTTTTAAACTGTATTGGGCTTAATACTCCTATGTCTAAAGGCTACTAAGTTTTATAAGGACCGGTCCAAAGCCTAATGTCGGCAAGTTATATTATAATTTATTTTACATGTCCCTGAGTTGATGTTCAAACAATATTAAAACACTAACAGCCGGTTTTTCTAAAACAATTTAGTTCTCACACGAACATTTCATTTTATTACGATCAAGTTTAAAATTAGATTTTTATAAAACATTTGAAAGTTTTCGTTTAAAAATATCTAAAATGAAATGAGCATTTTCTACCGTAACATAACATTATTGCCTACGTATTTCATTTCTGAAATTTTAAATATTTTTTCATGTAGTAATAACGAAACGATCATAAAACTATAAAGAAAGTTACAATTAGAGAGCTTAAATCAGTTATAAACATGTTGAAACCACGAAAATCACCAGGATATGAACTTATAACGGAAAAAATTTTGCAGGAACTACCAGATAAATGTCTACGTGTTCTTTTGTATATAATAAATTCTTCATTTCGATTGAAATTTGTACTTAACCAATGGAAAGTCGCAGAAGTTCTAATGATACCTAAACCTGGAAAAAATCCGAACTTTGTTAGCTCATACAGGCCAATTTCCTTATTAACATCAATGGCAAAGGTTTTTGAAAAGCTTCTACTTAAAAGGTTGCTACCAATTCTAGTGGAGCGTTCATTGATACCACATCACCAGTTTGCTTTTCGAAGCAGTCATTTAACAATTGAACAAGTACATAGAGTTACTAACACAATAGAAAATGCATTCAACACAAACCAAATTTCTGCTGGACTCTTCATAGATGTTGCTGAGGCCTTCGACAAGGTTTGACACAAAGGCTTAATTTATAAACTAAAACGCGATCTGCCAGATGAATATAGTTCTATTCTAAACTCCTATATTACTGGAAGATGCTTTAGAATTAAACATGAAGGTGAATATTCAATGCTAAAAAATATTAAAGCAGGAGTGCCTCAGGGTAGTGTACTGGGTCCAATCTTATATATTCTCTACACCAGAGACCTGAAAATACCACAACAAACCAAAATCGCAACATTTGCGGATGATACGGTAATCCTAGTTACTCATAAACAAATAACGGAAGCTACAAAAAAACTACAGTTTGCAACTAACGAAATTATAAGATGGACCAAGAAATGGAGAATAAAACTAAATGAAACTAAATCTACTCATATTAATTTTACCCTAAAACGGTCACAGAATCTACCAATTTATATGAATAACAATATAGTCCCATACTCCAACACAGCTAAATACTTAGGTTTTACTCTTGACGCTAAATTAAAATGGAAAGAACATGTGAAAAAGAAAATAACTGAATTAAACTTGAAGTTTAAAAAGATGTACTGGTTATTTAGTCCTCGATCAGCAGTTACACTGGCAAATAAATTATTACTTTATCGTCAAATAATAAAACCTGTCTGGACGTATGGCATTCAAATTTCGGGATGCACGAAAAAATGTCACCTAAAAAAATTACAAACTTTCCAGAATAAAGCTATTAGATGTATAACTAATAGTCCTTGGTATGTTAGAAATGAAGACATACACAGAGACTTAAAACTTCCAACAGTTGAACAAGCTATTGCCATGTATGCAGCTAAACACCACGCCAGGTTGCATTTACACTGTAACGAAGAACTACAGGACATTATCCACAACCCAATAGAATATAGAAGACTTAGAAGAACGTTGCCATGATTTGATGACCAATACAAGGATGTCTCTTAGAAATAACTAATGGGTTATCTCAAAACTTTGAACTAACAATTAATGTAGAGTTTTGTTTATCTTGATAATTAAATTACTAGATGAGTACATATGTATATAATAAAACTCAGTCGTAATAAAATTAAAAAATAAAACAAGAAAGAGTGTTATATTCGGCCATGCCGAATTTTATATACCCACCATCAAACCTTGTTTGACTCGAATGAATCTTACTTATGTCGAATTTCATCTATATACTAGTATTTTTAAGCCATTAATGAGCGAATTTCATCGCTACACTCGTATTTTTAAGCCATTATGAGCGTTGCAGTCATTTTCTGAAGGGGACCTTATATGGGGGGTAGGGTCAATCATGGACCGATCCTCATAAAATTTTTTAGATAGATTTTGACTTGTATGAAACTTACTTATGTCGAATTTCATCGCTATATTCGTTTTTTTAAACAAGATATGGCTGTTAAAGCTGCTTTTCTAGGGGCCACTTGTACGGGGGCTATCCGAAAACGTGGACCGATAATGTCCATTTTCAATAACAAACAAACCTTACCTATAAGAAATATTTATGTGAAATTTCAACCCTCTAGCTCTTACCATTGGGACTCTATCGTGCTTTCAACAGACAGACAGACAGACGGACATACATGGCTAGATTCCCAGTAAAAATTGGAGCTTACATGCAAGCAGGTTTGTAAGGGAACGAAGTTATTTTCTCCCTTACAAACCTGCTTCGATAAGGCATGATTTTTATATAGCGAATTCCCACTTGGAAGCATTCCCACTAGTAAGCTTAAATATTATTTAAATATTTCACTTACAATCTGCTTCTCTGTAAGGGATAGTAGTAAGCTTTTAATTTTTTTCAGCTTACATTATAAAATTACTCCTATTATTGGTATTCCCTTATTTCCTGCTTCTCAGTAAGGCTTAATAGTAAGCGAATACAGATGCAGTTACTTCCCTTTTTAGCTTCCTAAAGTCTAATGACCAATATTTCGATGTGTTACAAACGGAATGACAAAATCAATATACCCCCAACTTTTTTGATGGTGGGTATAAAAAAATAAAAATGTAATAAGGTGTTTGGTGTTAACCCTAAAAAATAAACAAACATAAAATAATTTACAAACAAGTTAGAGTGCTATATTCGGCTGAGCCGAATCTTAAATACCCTCCACCAGCAACTTTTGTATTAATACATTTCTAATTAATAAAATATTTGTAGAAATAAGTTTTCTCATGTCTTAAATAGAAAAATCCCAAGATTTAAACGGCTTAAATCTACTACAATTCCAAGATTTATTGAACATTAGAAACGCCACTTTCATTTAAATTTTTATAGCGCCCTAAGATATGCTTTAGCGATATCTCGTATTTGCATGTATGCATGTGTGTGAAAGATTTAAGGATTTTAAAAATACATACATATATATAATTTTGTTCTACACAAATTGATAATGCAAATAGTTAAATACGGTTAAAGCGCTTTTAGGGGCAGGACCTAGTAGGAGAGATATGACCAAATATAGACCGATCGTGAAAAATTTTTGAAATAGCGTTAAGTGCTTTTTGCATTACAAAATAGTATTTATGAACAAAAATAGTATTTATTTATATCATTATTTGGTAATGAGTTATGTGCCTTTAAGTGTTTTTCTGAAAGGGACCTTGTATGGGAGCTATGATCAATTATTGATCGATAGGAAAACAATTTCACAGTAATATTTCTCTGTATATGAGCAATATTTCTGCCAAACTTTATATGGATATCTTAATTTAGTAGTGAGTTATGTGCGTTTAAGTGATTTTCGGGAGGGGACCTTGTATGGGAGCTATGACCAGTTATGGACCGATCGGAAAAAAAATTATCTGTAATATTTCTGTGCATATGAGTAATATTTGTACCATATGGGTATCTTAATTAAGTAATGAGTTATGCGCGTTTAAGTGATTTTCGGGAGGGGACCTTGTATGGGAGCTATGACCAATTATGGACCGATCGCGTTTAAGTGATTTTCGAGAGGGGACCTTGTATGGGAGCTATGACCAATTATGGACCGATCGGAAAAAAATTTCACAGTAATATTTCTATGCATATGGGCAATACTTGTACCAAATTTTATATGGATATCTGAATTTAGTAATGAGTTATGCGCATTTAAGTGATTTTCGGGAGGGGACCTTGTATGGGAGCTATGATCAATTATGGACCGATCGGAAAAAAATTTCACAACAATATTTCTGTGCATATGAGTAATATTTGTACCAAATTTTATATGGATATCTTAATTTAGTTATGAGTTAAGCGCGTTTAAGTGATTTTCGGGAGGGGACCTTGTATGGGAGCTATGACCAATTATGGACCGATCGGAAAAAAATTTCACAGTAATATTTCCATGCATATGGGCAATACTTATACCAAATTTTATATGGATATCTTAATTTAGTACTGAGTTATGCGCGTTTAAGTGATTTTCGGGAGGGGACCTTGTATGGGAGCTATGACCAATTATGGACCGATCGGAAAAAACTTTCACAATAATATTTCTATGCATATGGGCAATACTTATACCAAATTTTATTTGGATATCTTAATTTAGTAATGAGTTATGCGCGTTTAAGTGATTTTCGGGAGGGGACCTTGTATGGGAGCTATGACCAATTATGGACCGATCGGAAAAAAATTTCACAGTAATATTTCTATGCATATGAACAATACTTATACCAAATTTTATATGGATATCTTAATTTAGTACTGAGTTATGCGCGTTTAAGTGATTTTCGGGAGGGGACCTTGTATGGGAGCTATGACCAATTATGGACCGATCGGAAAAAAATTTCACAGTAATATTTCTATGCATATGGGCAATACTTGTACCAAATTTTATATGGATATCTGAATTTAGTAATGAGTTATGCGCGTTTAAGTGATTTTCGGGAGGGGACCTTGTATGGGAGCTATGTCCAATTATGGACCGATCCATAAAATTTTTCCTCTGAAAGAATTCTATTAACATAAGATTTTAATTTGTAAAATTTTGTGAAGATATCGACATTGTGGCGGATGTTATTAACAAAAAACCCATTTTCCGGGAATATGTACTTTTGTATGGGAGGTATATGAAATTGTGGACCG